AGACATTAATAAACAGATAATGGCTACATTCCTAGGTGAGAATGGCCGTATAAAAAAGGGCCGATATGGGCAGGTGAGTTTCGCTCCTGGCTTCAGCTTCAGAGACAATTTAGTGTGTGAAAGTGATATCTGTATCTAAAATGCATTTTTTTGTAATGGTGCATTTTAGCAGTAACTGAACGCCGTGGTCGTATGATAGTGTGTTTTGGTGATAGCGTGTTTGTTCTTATCTCTTTGTCGGGGTCGGAACTGATTGGGCGCAATTTCCTGTACTAGACTTGTCCAACTGTGACAAGAGAATGGTCGGAGGCTGGATTAACGAGAATTATTTATTAATGAATTGCAAAGATGGCGATAACTGATAGAGGAGCTATGCAATCTTTGGTTAAACCAAACCGACAAAGCGTGGCGATCTGAACCGTATTCATGCAAGTGTTTCCTACTGCCAATAGGAACTGTATGCTACACTAAGATCTTGAGTATGTTTCAAAATTACACTGCAACAATGTTTTAAAAATAACGGTCCGTTTGTGACGCTGGACTCTAATAAAATAGAATATGGTGCTAGAGCAAACAAAAATGATTTTTTGCATCGATTTATTCTATAAGATGAAGAAAAATAAATTTAACAACCCGAATCGACAAAAAAGGGGAATCTTTTTCAGGAGCAGAATTTTCTCTGAGATATCAATTCGCATATTCTCATGAATGCTGAAGAGGAGAAATGAGAAATTTATCAAGTCGGGATTAAGATAACCGTGTAATTGTTCATCCCATCAGGTGCAAGTGAAAAGCTCAGTGAAAGCGGGCCTCAAATGGTCAAGTTAGATCACGTTTCCGTCATTTCAAAAAATCCTACGACAAAACAGGAAACCGTCTCAGAGGTTCGTTGTGGGCTATTTATCAAGCAACTGACATCATTTACGAAGGATCAATTATGAGCCATATCGAGCGATCTTTTTGTCTGGGTGGCCACCTGACAGACCTTTATGTGGTTTACTTAGCGATGGCCTGCCCCTCTCACGGTAGTCTGATGACTTAATTCATGTGGTTATCAAATCTACAGGTGCCATGAAATTTGGTATTATTACCTTGTTTCATCTTCCATTCTGCTGTGCTCAGTTCGGCCTAAGACTCCAAGAGCAATACATGTACAACATACAGTGATACCATTTTTGTTCATTGCGAGGAAGCTCTTATCACCCACGTGAGGTTTGCGAGCTGCCTAACCCCAAAAAGGAACTGAATGGTCAGAGGCTGCCACGTCGTCTCATGGATCACCTCTCTCCTGGTTTAATACGAAAAGGACCCGGCCAATGGTAGAAGTGTGGTTTCTTTCAAAAGTTGAACATCAGGTTAGAAATCACAATGTCATTGCCAGAAAGACTCGAGGATTTTTAAATATTTGTACTGATCAGTACTTAGATTCTGAGAAGTATTGTGATTTTGTTAAATATCTAGAAAAGCGTGAAAATATAGAGCATCGGAGTCCACAGATGGCATATTAAAACCATTTCATGATTTGGCCTTTGGACCATTGGTCAGATCTGTACCTTGTTGCACAACTGAACACTTGATAAGAAATAGCAGGCGAGCAAAGCCATGAAATGGAAGAGAGTTGAGGTTCTTTTCTAGCTTTTGTGTTTCGATCTTGATTGTGGCTGAAACGTCCAAAGGTTTGTTCCACAATAAAATAAGAACAGCTTCACCCAGTTCCCTCCTTTCATTTCCACGCCATAAGCGGCGCCAATTTTGAAATACTGTATCAGATCATGTATGTTTTTCAGTTGCTTACTGGTTAAAGCAGGGGTGAATATTTAGAAAATACGTAATCATTACTATCACAAGTGGTTTCTTAGCGTGTATCAGCACCGTTATAATAGAAACTAATGAATGCTTTTACAGAAGTTGCTGATAACTTAAGTCACACAATCTCTAAACGTGAAGATATGACGTATTAACACATCATTGAATACCCAAAGCAAAAGTTAATTATTAATACGTGAAGAACACATGACTCCAAAGAACTCATTGAGCGAAGGAGGAGAACTAAGAATAGGAAACATGTACAGGTAATTAACACTCCCGAAAGAAGAATAAATCAGTGTTTAAGTTAACTTCACGATAGTTGCTTGGGTTTTAAAAATTTCAACTTGACTCACCAAAAACTTCACATGGAATGCAAACTATGCATATTGTAGACAGTTAAACCAAAAACTTGACATTTATTGTAAATCTATTGTTAATCGAACAGTCGAAATACCCATAGTCAGTAAAAGCATGCAGGATAGAAAGAATGAAACCAGCTGCCTTTGAGATACATTTTGATGTGGTTCACATTATTCTTCACGAACCACGAGAGCCGGAATACTGTCACTATAGATAGCACAGAAGAGCCCACAGCTTTGTTGATGGTTGCTTGGTTAGCTTTTTTAATAATTACTCTAAGTTCATTAGACTTCCTTTCGAAACTTAATTAATACCAATGCAAGAGATAATAACCGAACAGTACCTGATCTATGTTCTGCTTGTAGTTGAATTAGCGGCTTCCCTGTTTGCAGGTTCCTTAGAAAAACAATCAACAATAATTAATAGCGTTGACTGAACTTTTCTTGTTGTCTTGTAAACGGTTCTCGATCAGTCTTTGTCTCTCACAGCTGTGGGCCGACTAACACATATATACATCTTTTAATGAAATAGAAAACACACATGCTGCGAGAGACAATACCGTAGATATTTTTTGTTAAGATCACCTCCTGAGTTTATTTTCAACCACAATTCTGGTATTAGATTTACTGAGAACAGCCAAGATCAAAGCGTGTGTCAGTGTTAATAAAGGTCTCCTTTCATCTGAGTGGTATTAGATTAATAAAGATTTTTTTTTATGTATATATTTACAAAGAAGACGTTTAAGCTCTAAACTAAACGATGTATTAAAGTAGTAACAACTAGCAAAAGTGCATGACTTTCCAAGTTTTAATTAACTGTTGGATGTAGCAAAAGCGACCATAGAAAAGAAAATAGTGCTCTTCTACATCTAATAACGAAAACGCAGGAAATCAAAGCTCTTGTTTGAACTGTGTACGACACTCAACAAAGAATCTCAAGAATGTCAAGTTTATACGACATTGGGGGGTCCTAAATCGCCATTAAGTCTAAAGAAACCATATACTATTAACTTAAGCTTAAACAGAGTAAATATCGTGGTAATAAGTCAAGATTGGTGAAGAACTTCAACAACTTGAAAGGCACTTATCTCGTGTAACATATCAAAAGGTCTAATATATACGTTTGACCAAGCCGGAGCGGAACTATACTCCAAAGTTTAATATGATGTAAAGTCATCATCACCAATACAATACAGAGAAATCTTCCGTTCTAGTTTCTTTCAGCTAGGTATCATTTGCTGAATGGTGTAAACGGTGTAACCACTCAAAACTAGGTAAAAGTTTGGTAGGATTTGTCGTCATGCATGACCATTTTATTCAAATCATGCTCCAGCTGTGTGACAGAGTCAGAAAGCTTACTTAAACGTATACGTGCACTGAATGAAAATAGACCTAAGCAGATGGGTAACTGATAACTCGATTGCCGGGATTTATCATCAAATTGAAAAAAGTTATTGCACGATCTGTACCGCTCGGCATGAAATCATTTTTGAAGACCAGTGCTACTGGCCCTCACGTCATAAGTTGTGTTAAACTAGGACCTGAAACAATAGAACAATAACTGCGAGCTACATGCAGGCATTCAAACTGACTCAAGAGTAAAAGAAAATATTACCCTCAAGGCGGTGCTGACATCGGATGAGTTGTAATACTTCGTTGTCGCAATCACAAGTCTCACAAACGTATCTTTTTAAAATGTGTTGAAGATTGGCGGTCAGCGTGACCGAGTTTTGTGTTTCGTGAGTTGTGTGGTCACAGTCAATCGTGTTCAAGTAAGATCAGCACGAGTAAGCTCTTAGCTCCGCAGGTTCTGCGGCGCAAATTAGCGTAATTAATGTATAAAGGCGACTAAGTTACTCGAGTACTCTGGTTTATTAATCTCGTTGAGTGTCTACGTATCTATGACAACACTAAAAAACTTGACTTTTTTACCCAATGAGTGGCGGTTTGTTTAAACCGCCAGCATGAAATATATGGCTAATCGCCGAAGATTCCATATGAGTGCGCTAAAAAAAGTTATCATGCTCTTCCCCTCACCCTGCTCCCCAACCCCTATCCCCCCAAAAAGCGAAGAAAGTTACATTCATGTTTAACCACTGGTGATCAGATTGATATTGTTTGTTTTTACAAACAAACATTGCGAAATATATTCGCTATTATTCCAGATTCAAGATAGTGGCTACCTTGGTCAATGATAAATTTGCAATAAATTATACGAATGTAGGACTGGATTTTAGAGCTTAGCGTTTCAGAATGCACGCCTATACTGTGGTTTTACAGCTCTGAGAGTAGACTCCCGGTTAATATTTGAAAATATTTCGGATCAGTTTTGTTTACCAATATTTTGTTTAACATTGTAAGATCTAAAAGGTATTTCTGATGTCTCAAAGTTTTCTTTTAACTCAACTTTTCTGCCTCGATGAGAGAATTCGATTAAAGACGATCAGTGCATTCCTCAGCTCTTGTACTTGAATTAACACAATATCGTAAGGACACCGCCAGGTGGCAGAATCTTTATTCAACGAGCTCTCAGAACCCTTGTTCGCGCAATAGGGGTTGTCTGCTTCCCAGTTTAAGGGGTTGTCAAATTTTCGAAAGGCTAAAGAACTGAGCAATGATAACGAAATTAAACACGAGGTACTTCTGTAACTCAATTATTTTCGTCCAAGAAACATTGTCGCGCACTAGTTATAGTTTCATGTGCGTTACAGGCGATCGGATTACAAGTTCTCTTTTTCAGTTGGGCTGCGTGACGTTTGGCTTATTGTAAGTCGCATGAGACAAATCCCAAGAGAGTGTACAGGCATCTGTTCTATGTTGTCATAGCAACCGGAAGACATGGCTTGAAACAAATCAACTCTTTGAGGTCCGGGTTAAGTTACTTTTGTTAAGAAGATGGAAAATCTTTAACCTTGAACAACGGCGAAAGGGAGGTGAATATGCCGAAAAAGTGTATTTGTGAGATCTGTACTTGCGGGTAAGCATCTCTACTCATCTTTGATTCAAGTCAGTGCGCGAGCCTGGTCGTCCTTCTCTAATTCCATTTCTTGTTCAAGGATGCGTCTCTGTTGCTACTTCAGCAGAGTGATTGTTTAACCTTTCTTTGATTTCCCTTCTACTGTGGAAGAAAATTTTCAAGGTATAGAGATAAAAGGCGTAATTTTGACGCCCTTTTACTCCATAATGAGGGATTGGAAAATCCATTCAACAGAGATCTTCAGCTTTTAAAATGTGGCGAATTTTGGTGTCTATGTGCGTATTTGTTTTCTTCAAAAACCACTTCATCAGCTCGTGATCCCATTCAACAAAAAGGTATAAAATTCTTATAGCCTTATGAAGTGGCTTCAATTTGAGGCAATTGGGTAAGCATTGCTCTGTAAGTTTTATTACTGGAAATTTGCTTCGATTGTCGTGTGCTTCTAATTATAATTAGGACGTGCATTCGATTTCGGAAGTGACGAGAATAACATACAGCTGTATCGTTATTGTGTTTATTTAGAGTACGCGCAGCCGGTTTCACCGATTTCTTCTCTATTTTGTAGGCTTTGTATAATCGATGAACAATGTATTCATGTGGTGAGCCGTGCGAAAAATGGTTATGCTTGTGTGACTTGTGTCTTGTGATGGACCTTCAGGCAACCTGAATGCCATTGTTATGTTTGTTGCTTACAGAATTTATGTTTTCAATATTTTCTAATTCCCAGTATTTAAGATGATAAAGTCAGCTTTTATTTACGAGTGTAGACAATTTAATATAGTTATGTTCCAGTTATCGGAGAAAGTCTGACTTAACCAAGCAAGAAAATAGCATAGTGAACTCCTTGGAGATATCGATTCATTTTCAAGGTGCATTTTCGTCTCCTGTAAATTGAGAAGCTCGAGCTAAAGACTACGAAATGTCTAATTTTTTTTTCGCTTTAAAAACTATCACTAAAGAATTCGAATTTTGTTTAAAAGTATGAAGTGAAGGGGAAAAACGACACTGACAGTAGAGGTGTGTCTAAGATAACATGTGTAATCCAGTTGAACAAAACCCTGCGCTCACCTTACCAGTAAACCAATAAGTATTTTTTGAAAGCTGTAGATCGCATTTTGTCGTAGATCGCATTTTGTCTTAGATAACTGGCGAAAAGCACGTACATTTGGCAAAATACTTGAAATATTTTGCAAATCACTTTGCCATAAATGTAGGTCCATAAAATACAAGCTTCTCTGAGATTCCTCCAATATCTTACATTTATTATAATGCCTATGTTAAAGTCCATTTAAACCTTAATTAAACAGTGCTCAAACTTGTGTTTTGGTATCACTAAGTTCATAGTTGGGGAGCAAAATAATTTTATGTCATAGCTGAAGTCAAATTTAAGCAGCATTTTTTCATTATTTATGTGTACTCATTGTCTGCTCTGAAGGAAAGAAACTGATCTCAGAATGAAAAGGAACTCAAAGAGTATTGAAATCAAAATGGTTCAAAAAATTTTAACAAAGGAAAAATCTATGTATTCTTTATAAGTTATGCTTGTTGTTTAGTTTCGTCATTTGCAACACTCTAAAAGCTAGCGACAACAATGTTGTGGTTTCCCCTTCAATGTAACTAGGGTCAAACCTTGATTATCTGGACACATAGGGACTTGGTTGAATAGTTCAGATAACCCAGAGACCGATAATAAATATAAATGAGCCATTTAATCCACAGAGCTCTCAAGTTGATTTTCTGGCAAAGAGTGAGACACAGCATGCATTCTTACTTAGGGGGGTAGGGTACAGGGACATGCTTCCCCCAAATTTGGGAAACATGTAGAAGCTAAAACATTAATTCCTTTATTCTCTGAGAAAATGTCCACAGTTGGAAAGAGTTCTAAGCAATTACAAAGGGAACAAAGAGTAAATTATATTTAAAAGGACAAATTTTTTAGGTTCCTAACTATAGCAGAAGGTTACTTTCTCAAAATCAACAGTTCAAATCACAAGCATTATAAATGTTTGAGAAATGTTGGCTTCAGTGGGAAAGTGTAAGATGGAATTGGATTGCCTAAGGGTTGAAGGATCTCAAATCATTATGCATTGTTGCCAAAATTCACCATAATATTTACAAAACTTTATGGCACCAATATTTTAATTAATTGATTTTAATTTTAATTAATATTTGTGAAAAAATGGGACCAGGAAAGTGAGTCAGGATACATTAAAAATCTGGATAATTGAGGTTTGACTGTACTTTAAATAAGAGAGTTTTCATGGAAAAGAGATTGGGGTATTGGTTTATTTTACGGTCTTTTGAACAAATTGTCTTAGCCTTAGGTACAAATTGTAGACAAGACATTTCATTTTTAAGTGTATTCCTCTGATTGGGAGTATAGATGGGTCCAAGTGAATTGTCGTTTGACAAAATACCTGCAATAAACCAGCAAACCATTACTGAGTGGCAGAACGTCTTTTTGTCTAAAGGCTTGGTGACCCCGACATGCATGTAGGTTCCAGCACAATTTGAGCCACTCAACCGGAATGAAGACTTCACCTTCAAGCCCTATCTTGAATTATTTATTATGATTATTTAGTTAAAAGGAACTGTCAATCCTCAAAAGTCTTAGAAAGTAGAAGTTACATGTAAATAAAAGCTGAGCATTTCTTGGTTTTTTGGCAGGATTGTGAAATGATTGGCACAGGAGAATGAGAGATAGTTTGCTAACATAAATCAGAGCATCTCAAATTGAAAAATTCCATAAGAAAGTTTGACAATCATCCATTTTATCTCATTTTAAAAGAAATCATGTCTTAAGCTTGGTGAGCAATAACCGAAAGGAATTGTGATGATGCTAGTACTTTTCTTAATATTAGTCTCTTGTCTGCCTGGTCCATTCTATGGTTTTTTCTGAGCATATCTTCAGTGCAAGGCTTGCTTTAAGTGTGTGCTTTTACATTTTATCCACTCTCATTCTTTTGAATAAGGCAGCTTTTCTTTTATTTACTGCAATTGGTGCTGTTTACTTTGACAGCCTTCCTTCCCTACCCAGTAGGGGACTAGTCCCTTTGGATTCTTTCATTACACCTGTACTTGTAAATTTAAAATGATGTTATTTGGCAAAGAACCAAGCCAGAGATCAGAGATTTAGAAATCATCTCATATTTCCTCATGTACTTTTATTAATCAAAAGATTTGGTGTTGTTGATCAATGAACCAACCAACCTCGTCCCTCCAGAGGATAGAGATCTGGAAACGAAATTCTGGGCCAACATTGTGCTACAGAGGTTCATCTATTAGTTGATCTCTCTTTTGTTGAATTCACTGACTGAGAGCCTCCTAAAGTTCTCAAGTTCTAACAATTTTTCAAAACCTTACATGGGTCATTTACATTCTCTAAGCCAACTTTGCATTCTCTATTATCGGGTTTGCCACATCCCTCTGGAATGCGAGGGCGTGTTTTCTGTGCTCTACTTCACACCTTTAGTAGCTTTAAGTTGTAATACTAAACCCACCTTTTTATTTTCTTTTAACGCATTGAAAAACTAAAAATGTTCGTTCCGAAAACGGAGATTTCTCTCTTCGCATCTGTTTAATTATTCTGATAGATAAAGTAATTTGTTCAGTTTTCGAATTATTCATTAATTTAACTCTGAAATTACCTATTAATTCCACAGACGCCATCGTTGCCCACATGAAGGCGCCTCTCCAAATCGGATCATCAACAAGTCAACTCAGGAAAGATGCCATGTGACCTCGGAGTACAGAACAAGTTTTCAACCAGGGCAGCGTACAAGGGGACCTTTTCGTCGTCCAGTGGATCTACTCCAAAACAAAGGCAACATCGATAAAGACACCACCCAAAAGGCTGACTACATTCCGTTCGAGGTGAGACCTCCAAAGAAAAAGGAGGCAGAAAAGTACGTACCCAATCCAAACCCCTTTGAAACAGTTTCGGAACACAGAGATCACTACCGTGGAGTACGTGCCATACCAGCCAAGATCCCTCCATATATCCGTGGAGAGACGATGCGTGCTCCCTCAGCCAAGGTGGTTTATAAATCCATTTCCCATGACGATTACAAAGGCTGGATTCCCCAAGTTCACCGTGTAATACGAAGTAACTCTTACGCTCCGCCTGCTGACCCCTTCAAAGAAACATCAATCCACCGACAGGATTACCAACGGTTTAATCAGCCACCACGCCCTACGGCGCGTCAGCCCGACAAGATCAAATACGACGGTCCAATTTCATCTGTCACCCATTACAGGGTGGATTTCAAAGACAAGGAGATACCTCAGAGATACGAGAGGGAGAAAGAGGAGCGGGTGCCTCCTGAAGAGCCTTTCAACAGTAATTCAGTGTTCAGGGAGGATTTTGTTGATTTTCGTGGAGCGCCTAAAGCTCCCATGTTCCACCCTGTAAGTGATTTATTTAAGAGTTCTGAGCCTATGCAGCTTGAGACCACGAAAAAGGAAGATTTTAAGAGCTGGGAGGTGTCACCAAGGAAGCAAAAAGAGCCCGAGAAGTACAAAACACCTGAGGGAGCCATGGACTGTCAGACTACACATATGGACTACGCCAATTTCGGAAGGAAAGCTGTGCCAGCAAAGACCGCGAGACCACGTACCAAGCTGCGATTTGGACGAGAGGAAACACTTGATGACAAGACTAACTATGGCCTCAGTTTTAAATGGTTTTACGAGCCGGTTGTGCACTCAAAGGGCCCAGGAATTAAAAACGAGATTTTCCCGCCCATTCAGGAAAAGGCCCCTGAAAAGTCTGAATTTCTGGATAAATACAAGAGGTTTAATGTTGTGCCTCCAAAGATGTTCCGTGACCGTAGCGCCCTTTTTAAGACCTCCGAGGCACTAGCCAAGGATACAGTGTATGACGACGATTATGTTTGGCCCCGAGTCAGTTGCCCGTCAGATGCTCTTTTTAAGGGCACAGGAGATTTTGTTTTTGATCACGAGACTGAAACCGGCCACAGAATGTTTCAGACAATCTCTGAAAATGTGCGCAGCAATGACATAACAGTTTCATAACATAAGTATCAGAGTGAGTGTTATTTCTAATTATAGATAGTCAAATGAGACAACTTGTCAGAGTGATTTTTTTAGGATGAAACAAAAATTAGTTTTCGTAACGAATGAATCTGTCTACTGCACACAGCTAGTACAAAGAAGAGCTTTTTAACCCTTTAACTTCCAGATCAAATTTGTCATTCTCTTTACCGTCAACCATACAATTCTTATAATGTTAGTTCAGAGAATTTAGTATTGGATCAACTAATTATCTCCAAAGTGACATTTTTCTTTATTCTCATCACTTATCTTGTTAATATTGTATTGGTAATGTAAGGAGAAAATCTGTCTTGGTCACTCATGGGAGTTAAGGGATTAAATCATGACAATCATGCAAGGAAATTTAAGAACTCTGTTGTTCATTGTTTCGTGCATACCAAAAAAAAAAGTAATTATTAGTAAAGCTTCTATGGAGGTAATAACATCAAATGCAACCGTATACATACTAAATTTTTTGTCATTAGTATTTATTTTATTCAAATTTTTTTACTTGGTTAACCTTTGAAGAGGATTGGAAAGATTTTGCACATTAAAAGCTGATATTTTCAACAATTATGTCATCGATTATTTGTACCATAAAAAATGCGGAGTTGGTCCGTGGGTATCGGGAGAGAATGTCGTAGCCGGAAAGAATACAACTCCATGCCCATACAGGCAATTGGTAGATCTTCATTTCTACGTAAGAATTGACGCAAACTAGTAAATGGGAAGTAGAGAGGAGTTGGTGACAGAAGAATGGTTAAGCTGAGTACATAATGATGGGGTTCATCCACTCCTGCTTTAGCTTGGATATGAATAAGGCAGGCAAGTTCATTGACAAATAAAGATAGCAATTTTACTTTTTCAAATAACGATATTCCTATAATAGCCATGTCACGTGATGTATATGTACTCTCTATGCATGTGTCCTCTCTATGCTATAGTAAGCTTGCACGGCTCTTTGTCGATATGTAGACATCTTTTCAGTGATCTCCACTTGAGTTTGATTTTTTTAGGTAGATTTACAGACAAACACAAATATTCCTGAATTTAAATTGAGAAAATGCAAATCTGAACATTTCATAATTTAGTTCGAGTTCTCAAGGAGGTGACTAAAATCTTCCTACACCTCAAACATTGCCTGTATTACCTTCAAACTGTATCGGCACTAAACAAGGCTTTCAACGGCTTCCAGATGACATTAGTACAATTGCTCTTACAGGTTTCGTTTAAATAAATAGAATATTTAACTATGCAAAATTTTAAGGATAACTTTATCTTTGCGCGCTTATTCAGGAGTGGCACGTGTTGCAACACCAGCGAGAATACACCGGGCACATTCTCATTATCTTGACCTTTTCGCAATACTTGACTTTGTCGACACAATTCGCTGAAAAAGGAGAAGATGAAATTTAGATCCACGTTGAGAAAAATGGCATCATTGGCAGCAAATCCGGTTGTGATATCATGCCTAACAGTAGCAGCTATTTAAAGCCAACCTAACTGCACACAGTTTTCTCTATTTTGGTATGCGTATATATCTATTTATTATTGTTCAACTGCACTTAGTCCAGCAGCTAAAACTGGGCGATATCCAAGTCTTCGTAGTCTGCGTTTCAAATTTTAATTCAAAATCAGAGAGGAATTTGTGACTGTTTTAGAAGGTAAATCTTTTTTTGTTTATTAAGTCGTACACTTTATCAAGTCGAACGCTTTAAAGAAAACATCCCACACTGCATACAGTAAGCTGTTCATTAACAATTTTTAACAAACACTACAGCCTCTACTTTGCGCGGAAATAAGTACGGATATTTGTCCCTGGGCAATATCTGTTCCAAGATGCGAACAGTTTTCCGAGAGCGCGTGGATATTGGAAAGTAGGTTCTTTTGTACTGTAAAAAAAACTGTTTCACCAGTCGGCTGTGCGTGTTACGCTTCTATATCTACTTCGCTTTTCCCACCTTGAAAGAAATACCTCAGTTTCAATTAGACCTCAAAAGAGTTCAACCCGAGTTTAATACACAAATGGATTAAAAATAAACTGTCAAAATCGACAAACTAACCTTTAGTACAAGACTTTCTGTTACAAGGTTCCTGCAGGGAGGGTTTTTCCTGCCAGTGACATTGACCTGTAGCTAGGTTTAAGCTCTTAACAAATACGCATTGAACGTTGCGTAGCTTGATTCCATGTAAACCACAAGTACGCGAACACTAAAACATAATAATAATAACATAATGATTACATCTTGACAGACACCGTAAGATACAAACGAGCCGTTAGGTTGACGAGTGAGCAAAGGAAAGTAGGAAGGAGAACAAAACAAACCAACAAAAAGGAGTATTATGAGCTGTATTAGTATTATGGATGAAAGTGCTTGATCACTCCTAAGCATTCGCGCGAAGAATCCCCAATTTTAAAGCATAATTTACATTAGTACTCGTGGCAAAGGTACGCCGTCTTTTAAAACGAATTTTCACCTCGGACTTCAAATTCTCAAATGGCTTGTCCCAAATTTACCCAATTCTAAGGACGGAGTCAGTTAAGAAAAACATCCAACATTTATTTCCCATCGTTCACTGATAAATTGCGCGTACCGGGGTCATTTTCTCCACTGGAAAAAAGGGCAGTTTTCCTTAAATTTCGAACGCGAAGGGTAAATCCTTAAATTTGTCAAAATTCATATTACTAGGCTACAAGGACTACATGCAACATTTGCTTTTCAAATTGTTGAGTAGCACTTCAGAAACTCAGGAAAGCAAGTAAAGTAAGTTTTCCACAGGAAATGTATGGCCCTATTCCACTCTTTTTTTTTCGGCTAGTCAAAGTGCGTTCGCATTCAAATTTCCCGTTTTGGTGCTGATTTATAAATAACGGTGTTGGGCCACGCTGCCCGAGAAAAGAGGTTAATGTTATCAAAAATAACAAATGCAAAATTAGGTCTTGGCACAAAATATGAATAGGACGGATTGACTCTGGATAATACGATACTCACGTATCTTTAGCACAACAACTCTCCACATCCGTTAAACCACCATAACTTACCGCTGACCAAGCTGACGCCCGCCACATCACTTCACAGTCTTTGTGAGTACATTTACGGCGTTTGATTGGTTTAGGCTTATGAATACAATGGAGGTCATTAGCAACTGCATTTCCTGGACCAATACAACTGATGTGTCTTTCCTGCCAGCCACGGCGATGAGACACACAATTGCCACACTAAAAAATATCCAACAGATATAGGACAATTATTCAAGTATAAGCATATTAAGCACAGCACGGCGAAACTGATTGATGAGCTATAGTTTGGCCTTTGGAAACTTCCATCCCATAACGAACATATCCCTCTGGGGGAAGCCATTGGGAAGGATGTCACAAGACGGGGTTGTTAACAAAGCCTCACCATCACCTTGGCTACCGGAGAGAACACGCACATTGTAGAGAGTTTAAGTTTCCAGTGTGAATTCAAGAGCTGACCTTGTCATTAACGGCCCGATTCTTTCGTTTGCAAGGATGGCCAGATACCAGGTTCGTATGCCACACATGCAGAATGAAGATTGTTGACTTACGATGACATGATAACCAAATTTCTCCACATAATTTTTGGCCAATAATTTTTTGGTTCACAGAATCACATATCACGAATCGTTGACCACAAAACAATTGCACAACGCACATGGATGAAGAACTTGATTTAGTGGGTTATTTGGCTACTCATTGGTGACGTTTTGATCGGTAATGATAATATGACCTCCCTGAATATTCAAAAACTGTTGCCTCAGTTTGTTTACGTCTATATTCGTCACATCAATCAAATAAAAAAAGAATAAAAATAAAAATAAAATAAAATCCAATGATAAACTTGTTTGAAGTTTAGTTTATTTATTAAAAAACAATTTACTTACTTGGCTCCACTCTGAAGCTTCCCAATACCCTAAAAACGAATCCAATTCATTAAGGTTATCTCCAATGACGATATTATGTGTCTCATATACAGAGTTACATAGTACTTCCACGGAATGGTTAAGCGTTTGACTTAACTAATGTCTCTGCAAGACCATCTTCGTTTTTGTAGTGATTGGAGAGATTTCGAGAGAATTTTCGGCGTTTTTCTTCCAATGGATTTGTTCGATTTAAGATTCCCACTCGCCTGTCTTAGAGAAGGATTATATAGAAGCAGAGCAGCAGATGGAGGATTATATAGAAGGCAAAGCAGATGAAACACCCATAAAACTCATACGATACATAGCAACAATCACTAAAACAAGGTGTTTACAACTAGCTCAGGTCTTTAGAGTGATATGCGACCTTTTAGTAACAAATCCTTGTATTTCGCCCTTTAAGCAACATCAACATATATGCACATCTACGGTCCTTGTGCGAGCTTAGGCTACCTGTGTCTCCACTAAAATCTCTGATCTGATTGCTATTCTTTCCGTGGTATGCTTAGTTTACATATGTTTGTTAGGTTCCTGGATGGACACAATGTTTTCAAACCCTGTGCTCACCTTTGCCTTGATCTCTCACAGTAAGCTGTACAGTTCCTTGATCTTTTCCGACTACGTTGGTTGCAACACATTTATATTGGCCAGACTCCTTAACAAGAATGCGACGAACCAACAGCACTCCATTGGGCAACAGTAAATGTCGAGTGTCATTCTTGATCAGAACTCTATTCCGTGTCCACGTTACGTGAGGTTTGGGTTTTCCACTCACAGTACATATTAACACTAAATTGTAACCTTGTTTCACCGTTAGCGAAGATACTTTCCTTCTTTTAACTTCCATGTGAGCCATTGCATAACCTTCAATTCCTTTCTTATCGTAAAGATGCCGAAAATGACGCTCAAGGATTTGGGGCGGAACTACAATAGAGAAAAAACAATGATAACAAATATGGAATATGCATGTCAATAAAGGAACCCTAATTTTAATCCAGGAAAAAGAAATCGACTACCAGTCATTATTGAAGTCACTTTCGAACCAAAGTCTTGCTATGAAGGTTCATAAGAAGATCGACTTCATCAGAAAACAAATAAATAACATGCGCACCGAGATTTAACCTAAGAAAGCTGTCAGAAAGAAGTCATTAACTACCTGCTTCGTAATTCAACTTTTCGCACCTCTGAAATACTGTTTGACCAATCAAAGGCCGCATACGAAAGATTCTCAACCTTACTTAAAGGAGAGCTTTCCAAACCAAAACGCCAACACCACTGGTAGCTATAAGTCAGGTTTTCTGTTGACAGCCCTTTTCACCGTCCTCACCAACTCAGAAACTAAGTGAGGTCCATTGTTATCAGAGAGGTTCTACCTTTTTCATACCAATTACGCTGGATTAGCACATTCAAACAAGAACCCCGTTCAGCTTTACTCTTACAATAATTTTGAGGTGTCTTTCGCATTAATTTGTGATGCTGATTTGAAAGAATGTTAGGAATAAATTTTAACGACGTGATGGTCGCTTGCCGTAAATTGGCCGTTGTAATCTACTTCGACAATAAGCAATTTCCTTCATAGCTGATTCGTTTGTCCAGTTTTACCCAATCTCAAATTCTATAGCACTCTGCCTTAACTAATTCATTCAAATGAGAATCTTCAGAACAAAACATGATTGAATTACAGTACGCACTCATCAGACATGACGTAACCTTTAAGGCCATGTTACTTTAGGTCTTGCTGTAACTTCTTACCCAAAATGCTAACGGTTGTAGTCCTATTTAGTGTCCCATATGAATTGTTTGCAATGCAAGTGTAGTTTCCTTCATCCATAAGTTCGGCGTTAGGTACCTCCAATGTACCGTCATGTAAGACAGTGTATCGACTCTGTCGGCCTGAAGTCGCCACAATCCACTTGATAGTGGGTTTTGGTGTTCCCACAGCAGCGCATCTAATGTTTAAAGTTGCTCCTTTCACTATTGTAGCAGATGCACCTGCAGCTTTTAGATGTCTAGCGCGGTCGTTAAATCGAGATTTCATTCCTTGCCAATAACTTGGGATCTCTGGAGGTGCTAGGGAAAATAGATGGAAAATATTTCATGAAGAGTACCTACAGGTAAATTTTGAGTCAATGGTGCCAAAGGTCCGCCACCGTGAGCACAAATGATCATTGATAGTGTTTTAATCGGTTTAAGAAGGGTGTTATTTGTTACAACTAATGTTAAATTCTCAAGAAAATGCTCACTGTTATTAGTCGTGATGAGATCACAAAATTTCCATAATGCACGTGTGCAGATTTTGTCACAAAAGTGATGTATGGAGAGATCATAGAGCTGAAGAAAAACGTTTACGGCAGAAGGCTAATGTAAAAATTCTAGATTTCAAAATTCTGTTGACAATCATTTGTAGTATAAAATCTACAATATTTCCGGAGTGTAGAAAATCAAGACTGGTTTTTTTCCCTTTTTGAGCTATCCTTGACGTTACGAAAGGCTGTAAAAAAACCTATAATTATGTTTCCTGTTGGTAAAAGCATTTGCTTGCATGGACAATCGACGAAAAGGCGATCCCAAAAGATGTCAATATGTAGCAAGACCAAGACAAGGCTGAGGAGCCGCGCGCTGGCATGTCTTTGATGTTTCTATCACGTTTTGACGTCTTCTATCTATCACATTTTGACTTCTTCTATTTATCACATTTTGACGCAACACAATGGAATCTAGCTCTTCTTTGAATTATAGCACTTCTAAATAGTTTAAATCAACTTCGGGCTTTTTCCACCCTGCAATAATCCTTATAATGGTGTATTCAATAATGCAATAACCCTTATAATGGTGTATTCAACGTGACAAGTGATACTTCCTATGTATGTGTAACTTCATGCGCTTGCGCGTTCACAGGCCTACTACAGATACCTCTCATTATAAATCCAGCCAACCTGCGCGGCACTAATTTTAAGGGTTTGTCAATTAGTTAAACCATGCCTGCCACAGACATCAGTTTTTTTTTAACTATACAAAGTACTCCTCGATTGAACTCAAATTTTGCCAGTCAAAATTTAATTTTTTTTGTCTGACCCTGAAAACTTGTTAGTACAATTTCCTGAACTGTGACAACCATCTCAATCATTCGGTAAATGAGAGAAACCACTGCACACTTTAAATATATAATAAAATTGTACTTCCTTACTTCCAATGTTCAAGTGGGTTGTTCCTTCATCTTGTCCAGCGATATTAGTCGCAACACAAGTATAAAAGGCAGCATGAACCACTAAAGTGTGCTTTATAGAAAGGGAATTGTCTTTCAGTATCTTCAAATGCGCGTTGGGTACCACTAGCGTTCTTTCCTTGTGATTTTGGTCTCGTTTATACCAAGTTATATCCGGTTGTGGAATGCCCGTTGCCAGGCATTTTATTCGGACCGACACGCCTCTAGGAATGGTGACCACTGCTCCCGTTGTTATGGAGATAAGCTGTCTGATGTCGGTTATCTCAAACGAGCCTTTCACATTGCTGATCAAAGGCGGAACTGAAAAGATGAAATGATGTATTTAATTTTTCAATTAAGATGGAGCCTTGTACATCATCTAAAATGAGTTAACTGAAGTTTCCATATGTGTAAATGTCCTTGAATGTCTAATTGCTGTAAACTTTTTTAAACCCGCCGAAAACAATGGAAAAGTTAGAATAAGATGATTTGAGGATGACACACGCAGTAAGGCTCTAAGGCATTAAAGGTCGAAGTCGTGATACTTAACACCACACTAAGACACCTTTCATTGATTTACGTACGGTCTCAGTCATATCTCCGCTTGATTTGAGTCGCATGAACAAGATTTAAGTACAAAGGAAAAAAAAAGGGCTGCTCCAAAATTACCTGTGATGGTTAGCAATAGTGACTCATCATCACGACCGAACTTATTGGTTGCTGTACAATCATAACGGCCTGCGTCACCTAGCTGAACATTTTCAATCATCAATGCCGTATGATTCACTTGGTGCCTGTCCCCAGTGGTAATAAGCCGCCCATTGTGGTTCCACGAGACAGTAGGTGTGGGTGAGCCCTCTGTAACACACTTCATGATGATCGTGGCATTGATAACGGTCGTCATGTTGGCGCCGATGGGAACAACGACGGGTTTACTGTTGTTAACGTCAACTAAATTCACCTTGTTTGATAGAATGACTGGTTCTCTATGTTCTGTAGAAACAAACAAACGAAAAACAGGAAGAAAAATCTTTAACTGATTAACCATGTTACTGAAGATCGTGTCAGTTTGAAAACGAGACGTGACTCACCCAGGACTATTAGTTCTGTGGTGACTGTATCCTGCCCTGCCATGTTAGTCGCCGTACATGTAAAGTTATCAGCGTCTCCAATCTGAATATTGCTGATGGTCAGCGTTTCTTCCTCGATGTCATATTTCTCATAAACTGATGATGTCTCGATACCACGTGTCCACCTCAACGAAGGCAGAGGAATACCACTGGATTTACATACCAAGGTAACGGACGAACCATCAATGATCTCAACTTTATTACCCACAGTGACCTTCAAGGGACTGTATGACTCCCAGAACACATCTCTATCGGAACGCTCTATCGAGGGCTTCCTTGTAACTGATAAAGTTTCAAATGGTCACTAACAATAGTAAATTCCTGGCCAATTTTCCAGTGACTATAGACGTATCATTTCTAAATAAAATGTTAAATCAAATAATCGAGATCCCACAAAAGTTAACAATGGCTGGCTTTGACTCCTAATAAGCTGACTGACAGACAGACACATACACCGCCTGATCCAAATGCCATGCCATTCTTATCAGAGCTATTGGGGGAAGATGGATACATTTTGCAATTTAGACTAAAATTCGCTCTTTAGATCTGCCAAAGATGGGTGATTAACACAGTGATTAAAAATTTACGTTTACCAGTATTCTGAAATAAGAAGCAAATAGATGTTAAAGTTCATTATAATTAGGACAAAATAGCAAACCCGTTCGTAATCCTTCCTTGCGTCCTTATACTGAGTCCGCTGGATAATTTGGTGCACTAATTACTATAATATGCAGTGTGGTGGTTGAATATACACCACACCTTAATAATCGTTTTACTGATTTTTGCATACTCTAAATATATATAAAGACAACGCGAGTGAGAAAAGTAACCCTTACTTGAGACTGTTACAGGAGATGTGGCGCTATCAATCCCTGACCGACTGCTGGCAGTGCACGTGTAATTACCGCTGTCTTCAGCTTTAGATACCCGGATAATCAACGTTCCGTTTGAAGCAAATGTTACGCCGTCGTGTGACGATATGCTCTGACCATCCTTAGACCAACTCACCGTGGGTTTCGGAACACCCTTAACATTGCATGCTATCACAACTGTGGTGCCATTGATAGTATCAATCTTTGTACCTACTCCAGTGGTGATTTGGTTGTGGTCATCTGAAATGTCAGTTCCTTGTGACGGCAAGATGATGGGTTCCGCAGGTTCTAAAAGAAAATTTTAGGGAATCATCTTTGAAGGAGTACTCTCTCATTATGATTTGTATTTCATTTTGTATACAATTACGAAAGAAAAATACCATCTCTTTCTCTTAAAAGCAAGTGAGTTTTAATTTTTTGGGATAGCAAAAGAAATACTGTAACGTAGCCCTAGAAATCCCACTACTTTGGAATGTTGCGAGTTCTTAAGAGTCATGAAGGACACTGTTAGGAGACCACTAACGCATCACGGGCGAGACATACATCATTATTATTACTATTACGCGTCTTTTATTCTTACAATAATACCGCTCTCAGTCTTTTCTCGCCTGGCAAGTTTAAACAAGTGAATGAGAGTCTCCTGAATTTACGCCGATCAAAGCATTTTTTTCAAAAGGGCTCACTGATACCTGGCTCGCAAAGCAGCTGCCTCCTCACATACCTAGAATATCGATGGGTGACGTCACTTCCTCTTTACCGGCAACATTCTGTGCCAAACAAGAATATCTCCCCGAGTCTTCGGTGAGAGCCTCCAGAATAGTCAGTGTGCCTTTGTTATCAATAACATACCCATTACCGGATACCAACTCTTTTCCGTCTTTTTTCCAGGTTATGTTTGGAGGAGGTGATCCTTGTGTGGGACAAGTCAGGGAGATTTTAACAAAAGCAATCTCAGTGATTTGACTACCAATTGTTGTAATTACTGGGTAACCGTTTCCAATTGATATCTTTGGGCCTGGCTTTGGAACTAAAATTAATGGCCCCTTCAAATCTGCAAGTGAAGAGGCAATACATTAGTCTGCAATTTGCTCAATCGCTGCGAAACATTAAAGACTGCGGTTAATCACTACCTTAGGTGCACGTTTATGAATACAAAAAAACCCAAGCGTTATTCGGTGTTATGAATAATTGTTGTAAATATAAGCTTCTAGAAATCTCCAGACTGCTTAGTCATGCTGACATGCGTACCATAGAACTTTCAATTTAATCAAGTCACGCACTTATTTCGTAATACTACTAAAATAGTTCTTTTGTAAGCTTCTGGAATGTTCCAGAACACTTTGTCAATGTATATAAGGACTCATTTATGTAGTAGTAGCTGTTGTTACCGTCGGGAGTGACCGAATGTGTAGAAAGCTATGCCGTGAGCATCTTCCAGAGGTGAGCTAAGATATAGACTGTCGTGGGATTCAGTAAGTTCATCGAGGATAAGTACTGTACAGCCTTTAGGAGTGGCTCCTTATTAAGAATAAGTTTAATAAAGTAGTTGAGTTTGTAGGATTGTATTGTTTTTTTGTCGATAGAATATACCGTAACATCGGGAAAACATAACATTGTTGAATTGCAATAACAAGCTTACTCATCTTTTGTAACATACATGCCAGGTTAAAAGGATGTGAAAGACTTTTTATCATACTACTTACCAATAATTTGTACTGTGCTTGATACACTTTCCTTACCAGCAACACTTTCTACAGTACACGTGTATCGAGCAGTGTCTTCTTTGTTGCTATCCTTAATAAGCAAAGAGCTATCATCCTGAATGCTGTATCTGTCTTCTTTTACAATTTTCTTGCCATCCTTTGTCCACGTAACAGTAGGTATTGGTACTCCACTGGCGTTACATCGAATGGTAACGCTTGTATTAATAACTGCTGTCACGTTGTCACCAATGGTCGTTACAATGGGACTTTGGTCCGTAGACTCGATCGTCTTTGGCTGGTCGGGGATTTCTATTGTAGGCCCGGAAGGCTCTGTATTAATACAACGTATGAAATTAGTTTGCTGAAAAAAGATTACAATAAATATCCAACTCAGTGGTTACATCATCACTTACCAATAATTTCAATTGTTGAAGAAGCACTGTCGGTGCCAGTAAGACCACGGGCGCGACAAATGTACTGGGCGTTATCTTCAGACGTTGCTGCTACAATCACCAAGGTGTTATCCCTTGTGATCATGATGTCATCGCCAGGGATAATTTCCACTCCATTTTTCTCCCAAGTAACAGTTGGTGTTGGTACTCCATTCACTGGACACCTAATGGTGATGGTAGTGTTTGAGGCTGCTGTCACGTTATCACCAACGTTCATAGTCACTGGACTACCATCACCAATCGGAATCTTTTGACCAGTTTCAGATACAGAAACAACCGGCTTTTTAGGCTCTGAAAAACGAAAACGCGTGGTCAATTACCACCGTGCCCTTAGTCTTTAGGCGAATGTTAGAATTCATAAGAATTTAGTACGTTTCGTTGGCCAAACCAGGATCCCAATGGTTTCTGCTCCCAAAAAGGTCAAACCCGACAAAAGTCTGGAGATCTAGATGGTGCATTACCGGTATTACTCTGTAGCAAGTCCTCATTACTAACTGCAACGAAATACCAATTATATTAAGCTCACCCGCAACCATCACGACACTCGAGGCACTGTCTTTACCAGTCGCACTTTCCGCAATGCAACTGTATCGGGCGGTGTCTCCTTTATCTGTTCCTCTGATAATCAGTGAACCATCATCCTGGACCGCGTACTTGCTGTCGATGCGGATTTTCTGACCGTTCTTTAACCAAGTGACTGTTGGTTTTGGAGCACCGCTGGCGTGACACTGAATAGTGATATTCGTGTCGGTAAGTGCTGTCATGTTATCGCCGATGTTCATGATGATAGGACTCTTGTTTTGAGCTTCTGAGGTCTTAGGCTTGTCAGGAATCTTCACCACCGGTTTGGACAGTTCTACCGAACGGAGTCGTGTTCAGTTACTTTTGTTCATATAACACTTTTTTCCATAGTAAACTGATTCTAAGAACCCAGATTTTGTTAACTTAAAGGTATTACCATCCAAAGAATTGGTGTTCAAAAGAAGCTTTCGAAAGAGTAAAAGGCTGGTTATTCAAACAGAGTCGTTTTCGTCTCAGCAGTTAAACTCCGCTCTTGAACATCTTTAAGTTGCCGAAACTCTTCAGTCAATGTCAATTAATGTGATCAGTGTCTAAGGGCTAGTAGCTAACTTTGAAAAAAATTCACCTGTTGAAGTCCAATTATTGTCTGACACCGCGGCCTTAGTCAGACTTCATTTGAATAACCGAATCAAAAACTTTATCAGGGTAGAAAACAACAATTTGGTCAAAATAAACCAAAAAACAAAAAAAAAAGGACCGTTGAGGACTAAGTGTAACATCTAAAAGACTGACGAACCAACGAACGAAATTTTTAACAAAGGCTCAAGTTTACAACATTTTCAAGGGAGAGACTCAGACGGCAACCACTTCTGGTTCTCCAATTCCCTGATCGGGTAATTTAGATCAATTATTCTTATTACGTTCTCTTGACAACTGAGTCTTTGTGGGATTTGAATGAACAATGCACTCAATAAACAAATTTAAAAAGCGAAGACATTAGAACAAAGAGAATCTTCGATATTTTCTTTTCTAACGTTGTATTCAGACTTTTCAAACACCATATCATCATGGTTGAAAACACCACACTGAAATGAAACTGACCTACTATGCTGACAGTTGAGGAAACACTGTCCGTTCCAGCAATGCTTTGGACGCTACACTTGTAATTAGCGCCTTCATCAACACCCGCTTCTTTAATCACCAGACTGTTATCACTGCTAATTGACAGCCTCCCCTCCGGAGTAACCTGCACGCCGTCTCTTTCCCATGAAATAACTGGTTTTGGTATACCACTAACTGGACACCTGATGGTGATGGTTGTGTTTGAAGGTGCTGTCACATTATCACCAACGTCTATGGTCACTGGACTACCATCACCAACAGGAATCACTCGTCCAGGTCTTTGAACTTCGATTACTGGTTTGACGGGTTCTGAAAATCATTAAAATAAAAATCTGATAAACCTAACCGACCACACTTCCATGGCAAAACCACTAAAAGTGCTTGGACGTTAAAAGTATAATTATTTCGTAGAATGACCAATGACCAAGTAACAAAGAAAACTCACCTACGATCTGCACTATGCTTGACGCACTAACTTTACCAACAACATTTTCTGCAGTACACGTGTATTGAGCAGTGTCTGATTTATCAGGCTCGCGGATAAAAAGCGACCCACTATCCTGAATTGCGTATCTATCTCCACTGCTTATTTTCCGACCATCTTGTGTCCAAGTGATAATTGGTGGTGGTACGCCGCTGGCGTTACATTGAACGGTAACACTTGTATTAGTAAGTGCTGTCACGTTGTCTCCAACGATCATTGCGAGAGGATTTTGATCCATAGATTCTATCGTCTTTGGTTCGTCAGAACTTTTTATCATAGGCTTTCTAGGATCTATTGGATGAAATGGGAAAATGATTTTCAAATGGTTATAAATATCAATTACCTACGGAAAATTAACCAAAAATATAGTTAATAATCGATTGAGTATTTCTCTTGCCTAAAGTTCCACAATAGTTTCTTCAGCAACTAATAACATTGCCAAGTGGAAACTATCAATTAGTCTATCGAACAAAGACGAGGGGTTATCCGAAATTTGATCTTTGCATGAAAGAGTTGCATAGTTTGGTCACAAACCTAACAGAGCAATAAAGCTTGATGCACCATCCTGGCCAACAAAGTTCTGTGCAACACACGTGAACTCTCCAGGATCTTGGACTCCTCTGATGATAAGGGCTCCGTTGTTGCCAGTGTTGTAGTTTCCACCATTACCCAGTTGTTTTCCGTTCATTTCCCAAGTCATGCTTGGTTTAGGGACTCCTGAAGCTGTGCAGTTGATGTTGACAGGAGTGGTGAGTATGGCTGTGAGGTTGTCTCCGACTTGCATGTCTATAAGTTCGCCACTGCTAATGTACGCCCTATTGGAGATGTCAACTGTCGGTTTGACGGCCTCTGAAGGGAAACAGATCATTCTGAGAGTAAATAAATAATAAAAGGGAAGAAGAAAAAAACAACAAAGCTAGTAAAAGCCTTAAATTCCCAATTTTTGGGTCCTTTCCATAGATGAAATGAGGCTTTAATGAAAAGGTGCAATACCATCTCTCTACGCGCTGGTGTTGCGCATCTCTTCAATTTCCTGTTTGCTGTTTCTTAAACGATAACCACTTATTTTGCCTAGGGTAAGTCTACAGGTAAAAATATACCGAAACAACAGGAAAACTGATAAAAGCAATGATATGAAATAAATCAGTGTAATAGTCAGAAACAAATTGTAAAGTTTCTTTACAAGTCCCAAGAATCTTTCTTAGGGTGCCGAATCAATTTTCAGGGTTGCTGCCTGGTTTTGAGGGTCTTTGGACCTCAACATAGCTACCAGACTAAATTACCAGAAATTATGGCAGAAATGAAGAATTAGACTGATAACTCCCATTCTTACCAATAACCGTTACAGCACTAAATGCAATATCCATTCCCAAAAAGCTTTGAGCGGTACAGACATAATCCCCGGAGTCTTCAAGCTCAAGCTTGTAAATGTTTAGAGTACCAACGCAGTCCATGTCCATGCGATCATTAGAAGTTAACATCTTGCCATCTTTTATCCAGCCGATTTTTGGTTCTGGTACGCCAATAACTGGGCACTTGATTGTCATCGGACTTCCCTGTAAGATAGCCACGTCTGTTCCAATAGTAAAATTAAAATGTGTCCAGTCCTGCAGAGATTCCGCACTGCCATAAGATGACATTATATCAGGTGCCATGGGTTCTGTAAAAGAACGTAGAAAAGTTGTTGAGCTAACAGGCAAATAGCGTGAAAACTTAACTTGATGCGAAAAAGTAAGTGAAGAGAGTGCGTCTCTTCCCACAGTGAGAAGGATAAAAACATTCTCAATTATAGCATAAATCATTTAATTATGAATGATATCGGTACAATTGTTTATCGCGAATGTAATAAAGGACGCTAAGCAGATCTGTAAAGTCTGCAAAGGTAAAGAACGTTTTGCTTTGAGATTTCTGTCCCCGGCTCCACGCCCCTATACAACCACCGCTTCCGCCACCGATTCATGACTTCCACGCTGTGAATTATAATTATAAATTATCTAAATATAAATGTGAATTGCTTTGCGATAAGAGCTTACATGGTAATATGTGCTCCACTTGTAGTGGGGGTGGGGGGGGGGGGATTTACCATTTTGGTATCAGCGTGTCTTAATAGAGGTGCAAGTAGTTATAAAGAAATTGTGGAGAGAAAAGTTTGGGCGTGGTCTTCTTCTCTTAACTGAGTATCAAATTTGAAAGGTAAGTCATAATTTTACCTGAAAATCTTTTCCATGGATGCAACTTTTTTTTAACATTTTATTGCAAGTTGTTAAAGAATTGTATACAAACATAGAAACTAGCAGAGACCATACCGTGAACTTTCAGTGTACTGGTAGCAGTCTTGACCCCCGCGAAGTTCCTTGCCACGCAGGTGTAGCGATCTGTGTCCATAGGATCGAGTCTGTACATGATCAGCGTCTGACCAATCACAAGATAGTTTTTACCGCTCCTCATTTTCATCCCACCCCTGTACCAAGACACAGCTGGTTTTGGGACTCCAACGGCAGGGCAAGTCAGGGTTAACCTCCTTCCTTTCAATGTTGTCAAATTATCTCCAATTTTTGCTTTAAATGGTTGGCTCTCATACCAAATGATGTAGGCGTCGGATTTTCTTATTGTAGGAGCCATGGGAGCTACACGAAAAAAAATCGTGTGAAGACAACTGTTTTGTTATGGCGAAATCAATATTCTTTTAGAACTGTCGTAACCAGCATGATAACGATGGTCATTTTAACTTATTCAACTATTTTTATCATTATCATTATTCTACTTCATTCGAAATATTGGATGTGAATCGAAAAAAGTATATAGCCGACGTTTACAGTTATGGTGTACCGCAAATCAACAAGCATCACCTGAAATGCACTTGAAGTGCACTCTAAATTTGGTAATACATCTATCAATAAAGTTGTTAAAACAGTTTCAATAATTACCTCGAACATACACAGAAGAGGCTACAGAAGCTTTGCCGATAATATTCTTTGCTAAACATCTGTAGCGTCCGGTGTCATGTGTCCGAGTGTTCGTTATGGTCATTGCACCATCATCAGATATGGAGATTCTACCCTTGGAATCTAGTTGTTGGCCATTCTTACTCCACGATACAGTCGGCTCGGGAGATCCTTCAGTATAACATCTCAGAGTCAGAGATGTAGCTGTGAACATCTTCACAGTGACACCAACAGATCCCGTTACAGCTCTTCTCTTGTTTAGCGCATCGATTGTTCCTGTATCAGATGTAATACGTGGAATCGCAGGCTCTGAAATGAATGCGAAGAATACAAAAATAATGAGACCCTCTTACGACTATTCACTCGACAAGCGCGGGCACAGACAGAGGACATACGTATTATGGTCAAAAACTCATCTCACACTTCAAGAACTTTGCGTGTGGTAATGACACATAACTATAGACAGGACCAAACATTCCCTAGATCTGGGTGGGGTCACGCATATCGTACTTATATTGACGAGTGGATACTCGTGGGAAGTTTTGGAAAGTACGAGGACAGCCTTGGAGTTTCTCTTTGCGCAGCCTTCCTGAAATTCTCAACAAATTTACAGTCTGCAAACTGAATACTTTTCAAACAAACTGCCTAGAAATCATTGTTATCAAAGAGGCAAACAGGCGAAAGAGTAGACTAAATTTATTCAAACTTTGAATTTGAAACTTCTTTTTTTTCTCCCTACCTATGACATTGATAATGGTGCTTAACGCTGCTTTTCCTGCCATATTCTCGGCCTGACATGTGATCCGCCCAGCATCGTTCACATCCTGAATGTTCAACACTAAAAAACTGCCTTCCTCAGCCTCCAATCGCTCTCCATCTCTCAGCCACGTAATATTTGGTTTTGGTATACCGCTTACGACACACGTGATATTGATTTGAGACTGTGTTAGTACTGTAACTTCACTTCCTACTGTAACTTTCACAAGGGTAGCGTTGGTAAGAGGGATTCTGTCGCCTTCAGGTGGACGAATACGAGGCTCTCTTGGTTCTGCAATTTTGTGATTTGTTCAAAAGAACATGTGAGAACTTTTTTTGTTGTTTTAAACTATATTCTAAAGAATGAAGATGTCGTGTTTCTTTACACGTTTGTTTTCAAAGAGGCCTAATTTCAAGTTGATCGGAAAAAAATTTCTACATTGTGCCTTGATTTTATCTCAATCGACAGGTGGAGTCCTTATTAACCGCACACGAACAACATACGTACACATTCGACTTTTTGGAAATCTCCTGAACATTTAATTCTAAAGAAACTTTCTTTTCTGCAAGCAACGAAATAAATGCTCAAAAAGTACTGAACCATATATATATATATATATATATATA